TCTAGTATTTACAAGATTAAATCTAAACTTTTATATTATCTAATAAACCTAATCCATCAAACGCGCAAACAACCCGTACCTACCCCTCCAGCGACTTTACAAGTGCCCGTTTAAATTTCTATCACTTCACTGTAACAGACAAAATGAGATGAGAGATGAATACATGATATTCCTCTATTTACATTTCTATGACAAAGGACATGCCCCCCAATACCCAGTGTGTATGAAACATTGCCACATAAATTAATTTGCTTAGAAATAATACCTGTATCATAATAATGGTAATGTTCTTTCCTCTTTATATACATTAAAATTTCGTGTCACGTTTGTCCGCAATGAACTTTTAAACTACTTAACTGATTTTTATCGAATTTCGCACTCTGTGTAAACTTTGATCTAACTTGAGAGATAGTATAGTTTAATTCTCAGTTTATATTCGCAATATTTTTTATTGCAAACTAGCGGACTCGGCAAACGTTGTTTTGCCATATAAATTATTTCTAGAGGAATCGTTGACATAGACATAGTTGACAGGTTGACAGGAACTGTTTGTATGGGAAAATAAAAGTGTTGCTATTTCGATTTTTAAATGCAATTTTTCCATAATTTTTCATCGTTTAAACCTCCCCTGGACTGTCACAAATATTTCAATACCAAAATTATTGAAATCGGTCCATCCGTTCTCGAGATTTAGCGAAACTAACGCACAGCAATCCATTTTTATATATAAGATTATTTGTTTATTATAATAACAATAGTTATTCTTATCTGTTATTTCCGTAAGATTCTAGCAGATGGCGGTGTACGGTAAATTTGTCAGTTGGATTAAGTATCCACTAGATGGCGCTATTTTAAAAGACTAATAAAATAAGTATTCCGCAAATTTACAATAAAAAAGGAAGAATAAGCAAGTCCAATGATATCAAAAATGAATAGATATTATGAACAACTTGATTGCTTTCGCCGTGTTTTTGCTTTGAAAAAATTAAGTTAATAAGGTTCATATGTTAGATAATAAAAATTGACAAAACAAATATTGAGGTCAATAATTGAGAGAAAAACTACCGTATCTTCTTAATTGGACCAAATTACAAATGCTTACAAAATTTGATATAAGTTTACTTATACACTTATAATTTATATATATATATATTATATATATATATATATACTTATATATATATATAAGTATATATATATATAATATATATATATATATATATAATAATATATGTATATATTACTGATTATATATTATTTATTATATATTTACTAATGCACATTTCATTGCTGGGTTGTGACCAACAATTTTCGCCTTCCCCAGAGACTTCATGCTGCCGTGGGTGAGGACCTCCAAGGCTTTGAAGAGGTCGAAGAGGTCTAAGACGCTGCATTAGTGCTACAGCCAGAGGCCGCCGTTAGACAATTGACTTTTAGTGTAATCAAGCCCCGTTTGCTGCGTAGTGACTCCGCACGCCCACCTACACAAATTCAACACCGTCAAATTCCGTTCACGCTCATAACAAATCGAACAATCATCGCCATAGTTAAATGACGGGCTATCCAAAATGCTGTAGACATTACTCATTTAATACTCCGCTGTATATAAAGGCATTCGCACAACTATTGTACTGTACGTAACGGAGCCGAGAATCCCGAATCGCCGCGTCAGCTTTACGTAGATCTGACACACAGCGTCCCGCTGAAGTTTACGTCTGTTAGATAGTTGAATACGTATTTACACAAGGATATATAAAATTATACGATAGATCAAAGATTATGTATTTAATTATATATTTTCCGTGATAGTTAGATATATTTAGCCGTATTTTACTGTGCAGCGCGAGCCGGAAGACGCTCGTACGCAGTCTGCTATCGAAATAATAAGACAATGTTCTTCGGCGTATCATCGGTGACCTTACCCAGCGGAACCAAACGAGAGTCTCATGAGAGACAACTAGTGCCTAGACCTGGCGAGTACAAAATGGATCCCCATGGAACTCTCGGCAGTTGCCAAGATATGTCGTCCGTTGTTATAGCAATAGGTTCTCACACTCGCCCGCCACGAAACCCGTTCCAAGCCACGGTTTATGCGCTTCTTCGGCCCGATTCGACTTGTACCACACCCTTCAGGTCCCTGCGGGGACCAACACAACTTCTGGCCAGTCTGGTAAATAAAACGGCCCTGATTAATTAATGGATAAGAACGCAACCGTCACCGAGCCAGCTAGATGGTCATCCCGCCCTCGGCTGCCAGAACGCTTCCGAAAACGGCCCACAAACGTCGCGAATGGAGATTAAATTGCATTGTAATGAACAACAAATCCGTATAGTTTTATTAAGTAAAAGAATTTTATATGTTGTTATCTGTCGAATTCAGTCACGTCTGATTGTTTTTAACATTGTCGCGTGATTTTGAAGGTCCGATGCCGATTTTAAAGTAAGGCGAGTCAATTTTTAACTATGAAAATGTGTACAAACACCGTTAGGTTACAATGTCTCCCCACTCTGTATATATAAATTCCTCTCGTAACCATTTTATGGAATAGTCAGGCGTATGTCAATACATAATACATAATTTGTGCACTTGTCTAATGTTAACGAAAAACTCGATTGTGATTTTGGCACTTGTCTTGTGATTTTAACCAGAGTTTATCGTATGTTGATACATTTTATTGGCATTTACAGTCACGCTAGTTCTCCGTTTTCTGTTCGTGTGAGAATGTTAGACTGTCGCCGTACAAGTTGCCAGGTTTTTGAAGCACCCTGCACAACTGCCATGGCCAACCAGCCACGTGCTTTGTCTTTGGCCAGCACTAGTTCTATTAATGTAATGCATTGAATGTTGATGATTGTGATTGATTTTTTTTTTCGCAATAATTGCAATGTTTTACGATATTTTATTTACGCATAATTTAAATTAATTAACTCAATCCCTATTAGATTAGTGTTTCCGGTTTTGATACCGTTGTAAATGGGACTAAATTTTATTTTATTCCTTATCTATTATAAATATCAGGATCAATGTTGATTTTTATTTATAGGGTACAATAGAAAAATGTTGGTTTATCGGCTGCCGCTTATCTTCCAGTACTAACGCCCGGTTTCTGAAACACTGATCATCGTAGTAGTTAACTAATCAGCTGTTAATTGGCTTTTCGAATGTCATTTAAGTTGCCAAAAGGATTGTTAAACTCTTTGAATTGATCAGAACGAACTTCTTAATGATCAGAATGATCAATTGGAAATAGTTTATCCATCCTTTTGGTGAGTCAAATGACAATTGAGAAGCCATTTCACAGCTGACTAGTGACTTTTACGATGATGAGTCTTCTACGATGAAATCGAGCGTTCAGAGTTTGAACTAATTAACATTATAAACTTAGGAAAATAATTATATGTAAAATAGAACCGATCCTCCGATTAGTGCTTCCGTGTAAACTATATTTTCCCTGATAGAGCGTTTCAATAGTTTTAGATGTAACTATTCTTATGGTCCGGGAGGCAGTGTGTGAATGAGACAACGAAAGCACTACGAGACCGAAATAGCCGATTGTCTCTTTCCAAAGGTCTCTTTCCGATGTGCTTTATGTATCGCCGATTACTACACTGACGTTAACTCCAGCAATAAGTTTTCAGTGGGTTTGCAATTTTAATACTGTCTACTGTTCTATTTGTCTACTGTCAGTTTTCCATAACAATAGCAAACGCTCGCCGGGATGGACACCCAACTCTTTGTTAACACACGCTTCGATCGGATAAAATTGTCAGCATTTCGTATTATGTACATTCTTAAATATAACTGGTTGTATGATAAATTTATGTTTGGTGGTATAATGAAATCATTTATTGTATATGCTGTTTGAATGTGCTCGCAGATTGTTGAGTCAATTTAATTACTAAGCAACGTATCGGGAGGCGGATGTAATTCTACGGCTTAAACGATAGCGATTAACGTTTCCGCTTCTAGTAACCACTTGGCGCGTAGCCGACGAGTGGGACGAGTCCTCTGTCATGTTTCTATGTAAATACCCCTCGGGGAATATTCTTTCTCGTTCCCTCACTAACGAGGATCGTAACCGTACATAATCTGTCTCCGTTTGCTTCTGTCCTGCGCTAGTTCAATGTAAATTCTTCGGAAAATAACAATTATTAATGAGACACCGCCTGACTCGACAGAGCTCTCCAGCTATTTCGTAGCAGCGACGACGACGAAATTACACTTTTCATGAAGTTAGTGAACAGCATACTCTGTGTCTAAGAAAAACAGTGCTATTTAATATTTGAGCCCTTTACGTAGTCTTATTTGCTCGAATCGAATTATTCGATATTGATTGCAATGTGCATTATATGCATATTATACAAACATAATTATATTGTACTGAATATAATTGAAACTATATTCGTTATGATATTGTAATAAAAACTTCATCTCGTAAGCGCCTTGCGTCGATGTAATGTTATAATGAATCGTTTTGTTGGTGGCAGCAAACGTTCGTAGAATACGTCCGTCTCGCTCGTACCTGTGTGTTTCACTACGCGTGCGAGCAGGAAGGCCCTGTTTCGCGATGTTTCGATAATAAGATACGGAGCATAATAATATATTGTCTGTTCGTCTGTCCCTTACCGAAAGGTTATTTATTTGTTCGGGGTTTCAGCTGCGCGTTTTTTTATATATATATATTTTTTTATTTACACTACCGGCGCCGGTTTCTTGATGTTTCAATTATTTCGTTGTATGTACGCGTCGATTATTATACATGCAAGTAGCTACGATGTAATATAATGAGTTAGTTATTTGTAAATATCTATGTTTTAACGTTGCCGTGGAGCGTCGTAGTTTAAGTGCTAGCGTTGTAATTTATTAGGTTTTATGCGTATTATTATTCTGTTCTCGTTCCGCCCCTTTTCGATGTTGTTTTACAAGCAGGTGCAATAGATTATGTTCGCCCGACGGTCCCCGCGTCCGTGCCCCGCCGCGGCATTTAGCCCCTAAGTTATTTATTCGGCGCACTACGCGCCTCGCCCTGGCGCCACACCCCCCACCACCCCCCCCCCCCCCGCGGTGTCCCTTCGCCTGGAGGTCTAAAGTTTGCGTTGCGTGACCACTCGTCCGTAGCTGAGAAACTTGGACTGGCTGGGTTTAATGCGTTGTTCGTTGGCGGGATGGGGGGGGGGGGATAATAGCTGAGATTCATGCGTTGTTCGGTTAAGGGGGGGGGGGGGGGGGGGGGGGCGAAAATGTAATTGCACCATATTGTTAGAGAAATGTAATGAAACATACTCGCCACTCCCCATGACGGCACAGACTCCCCCTCTCAACCCCTCCACCTTTCTAAAACGGCCGTTAAAAACGCGCCGCGCCACTACGCCAATCGGCGTACTCTATCCACTCGTCTTAAAGTAACAAGATCTCATTAATTGTTAATAACGGATGTGATTGTGTGATTCGGTCATGTTGGACAATTAATCGCTGAGGGCGCCGCGTCGGACCGTTGCGATGCGAGAGCGAGATGGGAGACACGCGAACCGCCAATGTCGGTTACGGGCTGACCGTGTAAATCTCAGGTTCGTTCGTCAAAAAGCCAAAGTGTAACTTCAGCTCAACATATTTTAGCGATGTGTTATTAACACATTTCACTGTTGCATTATGTGAACAGTCTGTTGTAGTATACTAACACATTTCCCTCAATCCGAGCGCCGGTCGAAGTTAAGACGAAACATTAATCAACCATTGTATTTTATCATTTCCTATATGCGGGTGTACCCGTTGTACTGACGACAATGCAAATTAATTTATTGCCAAAGAATCTGTACTGAGAAATGTTACGTTTGACAGCTCTTCGTTCGCAACTTTTGTAATCAATCTGGCACATCAAGTTTGTTTTGCTTATTGAAAGCGACACGCGTATGTATCTACGAATGCCGGGGCCCCATGGCAATTAATGCTATATCTCTGTCTCGCTCGCACTCGGCGCGGCGTCTCAACCGGCGGCGCCACGGGCGTCCGGGCAAAGTTGCGTCGGTCAATGCAAAACCAACCTTGATAACGTTAACTTAAAGAGCAATGTCGCGCGGCATCTATATATATAATAGTCCAGACGGCAGAGGTCGACCGCCACTGGCCTCTAACCCATGCACCCTCAAGACAGCGTCATCAAAAGGGGGTTGGCAGAGAGACTGAAAGCTTAGCACAGCCCGCGTCCGACGCGCCGCCGTTACCAGCCGAATGATGTTCACTTCAGGGAGTTCGTGTTAGATGTAAAATAATGTTAATTCTTTTTTTAAATAATTATTTTATGAATGTAATTTCTATTAAGGATACAATTGATTGTTGTAAACTAGATTGAACTAGTGTAGAAGTTACTGTGGCATTTAAATAGTCTCCCGGAGAAATAGCTGTAACCATCCCCCTGTCCTAGAAGTGTATAAAAAACTCCAATCTCCGTATGTTTACGCATTCATGTGATACTTCATATTAAGTTGTATAAATACATGGAATTAAACGAATGATATCTTGTCTGTGCTATTTGTTTTTTTTTCCATTGGTAAGATTTACCCGCAGCGTGTCGACAACTACGGCCGAAATGGCTTCAATATGCCATTGTCGGGGCAACTTGCAATCTAAGGTAAGGGTTTGGAATCCACGAGGCGTGTGTAGTATTGAGACTGTCGTTTTTCTGATGATACGTACAAAAATCCTTACTAATATTATAAAGGCGAAAGTTAGTCAAGTATAAGTATGGATGGACGTTTCTCTTTCACGCAAATGCTACTGAATAGATTTTAATGAAACTACAATAATATCAGAATAAGACATAGACTATAATTTATATACATATTTTTATGTATATATCTGTCTTTCTTAATGTTACGGCTTCAGCCTATTCTGTCATATTTATGACTTCATTTTAACCAGCCAGCACTAGCTGCCTAACTGAGCACCCACGATCCAAGAAAGAATTTAGGACATAATGAATTTTAACTACATGGACTCAGTAAAATGTCTTTATTATATGTAAGACGACGAAGTTAGAATGTTTGCGATTAAGACTTTGTGGTCCTTGCGGCAACATCAATAAAATGTCAGGAGGGTTTAGGGATGTCTCATGTAAAAAACATTAATCGCGTTTGAAATTAATGGAAACTTAAACGCATTTAAAACGAGTTTTTTGAGCGAGCATAGTGTAGTTCTAAGCTTCCGATTGATTACAATCTGTTCTCGCGGTAAGTTCTTTTGAAATATGTTCTATTCTCAAAACAATCGGAAAGTTCCGTTAGACGGCTAGGCTATTCAGTTGCGGCCGCCTCTAATTCGCCGTAGTGTTTGTGTGTTCGGGGTGCGCTCGTTTCAAATGAAGGTGCGACAAAGCGGGCTGTCGGGGTCGGTGTAGCAGAACGCGTTGTTCGCCGGCAGCGGCACCGGTGGTCTGGAGCTGCGAGACAGGTAAACCCGGGTGCTGCCCTTGTATCGGCGGGACGTAGCCAGGGGCACTTCGCAATCCCCACCCGGACAGGAAGTCTGAGCTATCTCGGGAGATGTGCGCGCTCTGTTGGGGCACCTGTGCTCAACTAAGTCGCCCGTGTCGGCCGCCTCCCGCTGCAGCTCCAACGCCGCTTGGGCGATCTCGGGGACTCCCCCGTCAGCGTTCCCGTGTACGTCAGCCGAAGGGGCGCCATCCTTTTTATACTTAAGCCTTATCACGTCTGAAATGGAAGAAACGATGCGTCCGTAATGTGGGAATAGGTTGGCAAGCACCGCGGAAAACTGTCGGCCATATTCTCCAGCCAACACCTCTGTAGTGGGGGAGTTTTCATTTTTTTATGTGTTGCGTTGAAATTAGCCGTGCGTTAGCGATGCGCCAGTGGTCGCGAGTTTTTTAATGCTTGGATTTAGATTGAAGAATGTTTATATGAAAGGCTGTGTGCGGCTGAGCGCTCCTAACAAGAACTGCCTAGTTGCCAGAAAATATGTTTAAAAGTCCAGCTTGGTGAACGCACGATTAAAACTTGCAGTATTACAATACTCATTACTGCCCTGCCCCACTTGTAGCATCTATTTAAACAGTGGCTTACCATCGATGTAACGATGTTCACAATATAAATATTTACACTTCTACCGAGAAATTATTAACAAACTTCTCAGGCTAGTCGGATTCCAAACAATGATTTGTGCAATGACTCACCCCCTGGGTTCGCTGTCGAAACTTTTGAAGTTACTTTAAAATTTTCACGTTTTTTTGCCTTTGGAATGGTGTTCAGTTTCATATGTTTCTTGGTTTTTATTTGTGTTGGTGTCCTTGATGTTTCTGTATTAAATGTGGTTAGTTTCACAGGAGCTTTAGTATTTTCTTTTTCTGTTGTTTTATTAGTTTCCTTAATGAATGACTTTGTTGTTGCTTCAGTGGTAGTTGCGGCTTTGGTTTCTGAAACTGTCGTTTGTGTTGATTTTGTGTCTGCTGTCTGTGTGGTACTACTTTGGGCAGGTTTTTGAGTCATCTGGCTGTCTGTCTGTTGACTAGTTGACCCCTCAGTTGCTACCTCTGAAACGAACTCGACGTTTTAAGATATGATTTTTATTATCACACATACTCTGAAGAGCATAACTCCTGTTTGTATATGCAGGAAAAATGAAGTAACAACAATCATAAAAGATCAAATTTATGGAGAAATTCACTACTACTTTATTGTGGTAGTGAAATTCAGCATCGGTTTGCCACGCAACCGCTCACTAGTTGTTGCGTAACGTGTGGCAAAAGGAACGGAACGTGGCAAAGCGATGGCAAACGGACCTGCCCATTGACGGACCGATTCGTGCAACCACTGTTGCACGAATGGGTCCGTCTGGGTTAGTACCATGACCTCACAGTAGACCGACGTGAAGTGGAAGTGTTACACTTCTGGGTTTCTAACACTCACATAAAAAAGTTCAACTATTTAATTATGATGCATAGCAGCATCAAAACAAAGTGATGACCTTTCTTAGGGACAGTTCTTGCTGGTATAGTTTTCACTCTTGCCTCGAAGACTTCTGTGTTATATTTGGCCAAAGCGACAGATCTTCGAAGAATGTTCCAATGTCAAAATTAAACACCCTATAAACAAGTCTTACCGGGAAGTGTTGTTTCGGACCAATAAGTGTTTTAACTGTGGTAGAGTCCGAAAAAGTAAATATTTGTAAAGTGGAAGTATAATATTTTCGTGTTTCGTCTAGTGAGTGAGGTAGCCGCAGGCCAATTTTCAAAAAGTTGTCAATGCATCTGCAACCCTCGGGCGTAGCGGATGTCCATGGGCGGCGGTATTCACTTAACATCAGGTGCACCGTCTGCTCGCTTGGCAACTTTTCACATAAAAAAAAAAAATCTTATTTCGCTATCTTTGAACACCTCTTCCGTCACTATCAACGCCCCAACATTGTCTGTTAGTCGGCTCAAAAATACAAATCCTAGTTTATACGGTAGTGATATCGAGTGAATGACCTTGTGCGGATGCCCCGTCGCCCCCAGGCTGTGGTCCAAACTGGTCCTCGTAATCCATTTGGCGTGGGGCATCTTTGCCGAGTCGTCTGCCAGCGTGCTCGCCTCCGTTCGCGTCTGAAAGACACAATTCATGAAAACATCGGCACGCTGTGCACTGGCTATGTTGGGTCTAACTCCTAACACCAGTTATGATAATATAAATTCTTAGAACACTTTATTACAAAATTGATATAGTTAAAATGATTCTGATAATATGATATTTATGATATTTTGAGAACGCGTGGTTTTCTTGATGATTGAACGTGAACTGATTGATTGTCGCGGTATATTTTAATGCTTAAAACGTATCAATGCCCTTTAGGTTATAAGTGCAAACGAAGCTGTTTGGTTCAATAGTGAATCGAACAGGCTAGATTATCGATTATGCCGTTCGCTTACCGTTCGTTCGTCGGAAGGGTAGACCTGGAATAAGAAAGTATATATGAGAAAATTTTATTTCTACGTTTCTAGTAACTATTAGTTTCAGTATTACTAATCAAGCTACGAAAAGTAAGCCAAAGTTTGCCAGGTGGACGTCGTGTTAGCTATCGGAAACATCCGTGAGAGGTCAGCTTAGAGCCAGAAGACAGAATTAGCTATACTGTTGAATACCACGCAATATCCACTCTCAACCCCACATTACGTTCTAATCACACTAGAGGGTCAGAATTCAGCCCGGTGGCATACACGAGCACTCGTAATTAGATATATGAAAACCTAACTAAATAAATGAACTGACTCTCTATGTCATATTTAGCCCACGGAAGGCATCTTCGGAATCAAATATCGAATTCGAAAGTAAATGGGTAGGTAATAAAAAAATTCTTGGTTATCATATATTAGGCTAAGCGCCGCCCTCGCTTAATGGTTACCTGTAATAAGATTACAGTAGTAATAGATGTCGTCTCTGCTCCACCCATTCATTTTCAATTTATTTGACTTTTTGAAACAAAATTATGTCGCTAAATCTGATCAGATTTTATATTGAAAAGAACTATTTTTTTTAATCAAATAACTTAAATATTTGAAAAGTTTCATTTTTATGACAAACGTGATCTACATACATCCCGAATTTCCGTCTGAAAAAAAAACCCGAATTGCGTTACATTTAATTACATTTAATGTTTTTTCCGTTTATATGTATAAAATATTTGAATTAATCGTATGATTTAATCATCTTCTGACGCGACTTGTATTTCAAGTCGCAATGACGCTGTAGTTCTAAAAATCTTCTGAAGATGGCGTTGCATTTGTATTTCATTGAAATTGAACCATAATTCCTGAACTGAAAGATTAGTGTCATTTAAGTTGAATAAGTTGTTTGTTTATCTATTATATTAACATTTTATCTGGGTTAACTATTACACAACGTATCAAATTGTATACGCTTAGTTGTTTGTGGATGTCACCTATTTTATTGCATAAGTTTTACACGTTTTTCTGGATTTAGCCAGTCTAAACTTATTTAGTATCTCCTTAGTATTTCCAGGGTTTCTATATTTTACCCTTGCTGTGGAACAGGGGGGCGTAGGGTGGTGGCCACAGCCTGTAGCCCGCATAATCCGCAAGTGAGAGGGGCGTCGCTGGCATCGCATGATGTGATTTTCGCAAAATCCCTGCGTAAAGAATGAATAATTAATATACCGAAGTTTGTACCTACTGAAAGGCAAAGAAGCAGACAGAAAAACATTCCTCCACATGAATACCAGATTGATGTTGCACAACGTGACCTTATGTAAATAAACTTTGAGCGTTGTGATCGGTTGTGTTTTTGTAGTGGGTAGTATTTATTCAACATGGTCTTATCCCTGTCGTGTGATTTCGAATCACGTTGAATAAAACAAATTTTACCTTATTTACGAATATCGTCATTATTCTTAAATCAGTAAATCAAATTTACTTTTAAGTCCTCTGAAAATATTGGTCTGTTTTTTTCTTATAAGTAAATTAGTAAATATTATATTTTTTATTACATACGTTATTAAAATAACAATATATTCAAATTGAATTTTGTGGTGTTAGTGAAATGCAAGCTTAGTAATACGTATTGGCCTGTAATAATTTAGTCATGTTGTAATTTGTATTTTGTAAACGCGCCAAATAATTAAATAAATCGTAAACTGCATGTATTCATGAAAAAATACACTGCAGGAACACATCTTGCGCAAACTAGGCACTAACACTAATTGGGCGAAAAAATATTTTAATGGTCAGGTCGCATCTACTTTTGATTATTAAAATACAACGCAAGATGAAAACACTCCACTTTTGAAACATTAGACATGTTTCATGTATTGTTTCCAAGTAGCAAGTGCAATGCATTTATCGGTTTAAGCACAAGGAATAAAGCGTTCAATAAAAAATCCCCAGTCATAAGTAGGAACAGGAGTCTGATCTGACCAGAGTATAATAAAACAATTTCAACGCTTTATCATATAATTATTTAATACGTATGTTCGTAAAATATCGAATATATCTTTATATTTCCTGTACAGTGCAGTGGACAAAAACCCTAACATTCAGAGATAACTGCTTCTCATTTGTGCCACACTTGCCACAATCTAGAATAAGCTGACTTATGTGGATTCTCCACATTAAATTTATTGTAGAAATGAAAACGTGAAAAGAAATTCAAATCAGCGGTAATATTGCAGCCAAAAGATGTCGCTATTAACACTGATGACATTTTATATAGGTATTGGTTATCTAATTACTTCGGTTCATTGTCTAATCAGTAATTACATGACGTTTTAATTTACAGCATGACAATATTTAAATCTGTAAACAAGTTTGTAATAGAATAAATTGTAACCGATTTTGTGATTTCCGTGCTATCTTACAAAGCAAAATCCAAAAAGCACTTTCTAGTGCGACGTGTTGCGTTATAGAGTCATCTCTTGCTCAATTTTAAAATTATCTCGACTATGCAACATTTACATTGGGTTGACGAAAATGTACAAAAAAAATCCATATCAGGCTTATCATAACAACAATTATGATAAGCTTGATAAATTAATTTTGTCATTTTTTTAAATATTTAAAAACAGAAAATATTATTAATGACGTGATAAAGAAAATAGAAAATAAAATCTATGCATGCGTATGAGCAAATAAGTTATGAGAATAATATTGAATTAATAATAAAATACTATTACATGTGTTATAAAAATGTTCTACAAAACAATCTGTAACAAAAAGCCCCGCAGTCGGTAGGATTCGAACCTACGCTCCCAGAGGGAATCTGATTTCTAGTCAGACGCCTTAACCGCTCGGCCACGACTGCTTATGCGCATGTTGTGAAATATCAAATAAAATTAGCTTACTTGCATATGCAAATAAACTAATTTACCTTTCTTGCATATGCAAATAAACTAATTTAGAAATCGCACTTTTTTGTGTTTGCCCGAACATGTAGACATTTTAAGATAAAACTCTGTTATTAACCCACCCATTATTTGGAAATAATCTAAATATAATGCATTCTTTTACTGACGTTTATTACCTTATCTATGTTAGGTTTACCTTTATCCTTATTTATAGTTACTCTATACTACAATTAATTCGATTGCATGTGCTTATACAGTACGAGGAACCTTTTGTATAACTGCCATATTCAATAATAAAATTTTTATTTGATGCGTTAAATTGAAAAAATAAAACATTTTTTATGTGAGAAGGTCTATCGGAAGGGCAATCGGTCTGGTGGTTCACCTGATGTTAAGCGACAACCGCCGTCCATGGACATTTGCAACTCCCGAAAGGTTGCAGATGTGTTGCTTAAAATGCCGGCCGGCCACCCGTCTGGTGGCAACGCAGAATTTTAACACTTCTTATTCACACTGGTCTTCTGTGTGGTCGCGGTACTTACCCGAACGTACCTGCCCATTCGTGCAACAGCGAAAAATATTGCGTGGCCCTACCACAGTCAAATCTTATAGGTTGTGTTTTGTATTCATCATCTTGCTCTAAATTATATAGTTTCACAGAAATCCAGTTAAAATTGTGCCTGTTTATTAGTATTGATTAACAAGCATATCGTTTGAGTGCCTCAGGCAATGGTTATTATTTAAGCAGCGTTTACCATCTGCATACGCTGACCACAGCAGGTCAAAGATGTTATATTATTATGTAATATTTGATGACTCCTTGGCGCAGTGACCACGGCTTCGGCGTCGGGGTCGTGGGTTCGATCCCCCACGGGACAACTATTTGTGTGACCCACAGATAGTTGCTTCGTATCTTGCAACACAGGATAATGTTATCCTAAAGTGAGGGCAATGTTTTTTTTTTTAAAATATGCAAGATGTCAGGTTGTAATATTCTACAATGGTTTGGGATCAGTCTTCATCAGTGGCAATAAAACCACGATGAACTCTTTGGCATCGTCGTTTCCTTTATGAAACAACACCTTAATTAACGGTCTCTCGATGAATGACATTTATCAGTAAACCATCATATACTCACTGTTTAATCTCTATATGCTAATACTATCATATTCATTATAAAAGATGGTCCAGTATTATTACGCATAAACGCAATAAGCAAGTGAAATGATGAAAGCAAAATATAAAGTCCATATAATGGAGGCCAATTGATTCACGCGTATAAAGAAGGCGAACATCGGTCTGGCACTACTGTGCATTAAGCAGAAGTCAAATGGAATATTCCAGTGTAATCGTCCCGTAAACATGTCAAGGGCTCGACCAATGTGAAATTCAATGCTGACACGTTAAGCAAGTATTGTGCAATGTTTTTGCCATTTCCTATTTTCAATACGGTCCCGAATTGTGCTGGTTCGACTACGTTAATACTAGGTAGGCATTTAAAAGTAGAATTTTTCAAAGTAACTTTTTATCGTGATAACGTGTTACGAAATAAAAAATCAAATTTATTATAATTTAAAGTATAAACGTATTTGTTTTGTATATAATCAAAGAATTGAACGGTTCACGTAAGAGGCGCCGTGGCTTAGTTGGTTAAAGCGCCTGTCTAGTAAACAGGAGATCGCGAGTTCGAATCTCGCCGGGGCCTATATGTTGCAAATTTATTTTTATCACTTTTTTCTCGCGAATGTTTCATCTTCTTTTAAATGTACATTTTTTAAATCGTTTTTCAATAAATTATTGATTTTTTTAAACCTATTAACCTATATTATCTCCATGGACCTAAATTTTCAACAACAAATGGTACAAATACATAGTCTCAACAAAGATGCACTCATATTTGTACTTCATATTTCGGTCGACTCCGATGCTGGCCCGGTCCAGATCAAAGTACCCCCTAGATGAGAGGCAGTCAAAGAGTCCTATACAAGTAAACATGGGGTTTGCCTTCCACCCAAGTGCTCAAAGTCAAGCCATCCCTCATCCGGTCTCTTGCCATTGTAGAGTAAAATGCCACGGGGCTCTAAAATAGAAGGAACGTTGCTGGAAACAGGAGCCCTACGGATGACGTCATTCAAGGAACCGTGGTGGGAAAAGCAGCCAACACTTTTTGATGAGAAAGCACCTCATTTATCTACATCAACGCCATAATGGTAGGTGATTCTCAACAAATATGACCGTCTTCTCCATAACTGCACTCGATTCGTTTTTAACCTTCGTATGTATGACCATGTGTCTGCTTTTCGGTCTCAACTTAATTGGCTTCCCATTCGTCAACGCCGTTGTTTGCGCATGCTCACTACACTTCATTCCATATTAACCTCTCCCAATCCCCCTTCCTATTTATTCGCTTTATCATTGGATAAATCGAATGACATGACAGAACCCTTCGCTACTCTAATAATCTCTTGCTTCAATGTTCCTCCTACAACTCTAGTTTTATGTACTCTTCTTTTCCCGTTCAATCCATTCTCCTTGACATCAGGAAGACTACTGAACGTAATGCTTTTAAGAATAAGATAAAAAAACTATATCTAAGTAAGTTGGCAGAATAAAATCATCAGTAGTTATTGATATCGTATATTATTTATTTATGTATATTAATTATTTGTGAATATTATAGTATATGTATTCTATTTTGAATCCTTAAATAATGTAATATTTAATGTTTGTTATATTGGGTTTAGTATGTTTATATACGTTATATGTTTTCATGTATACATATGTTTTGAATTGAATTATATATGAATATGTATATAACTTTTATTTTAACTTAAAATTTAATTTGAAACTTTATACACCTGCCTCTTTTGTCTCTGCGTCGCCCATAGGTTGACTGGTAGAGAATGCCTTAGGCATTAAGTCCGCCTATACACAATGTTAATTTTTTGTGTAAAAGTTTAAATAAATAAATAAATAATGGGGTGTGGTTGACAAATCGGTGCCCCCAGACTGCAATGTGTAAGCTTTCATTGTCAGGTCATATGCCCAAGTTACTGGTCTGGCGAGTGAGGTAACCGGGCCCCAAATTTTCGAAGATTGTCAACGCATCTGCAAGTAGTTGATCTCTTTGGGCGGCGGTATTCAATTAATAAAAAAAATGTCGAGTTTTTTTTTATTAAAGTGCCAAGCGAGCAGGCGAAGAACCTGACGTTATTTGATAATCGCCATCCATACACATTTGCAACACCCGTAGCGTTACAGATACGTTGTCACCTTTAAAAGGCCCCCCGGCTACCTCACTCACCAGACGAAACGCGGAAGAAATAACGCTTCCACCTCTCGCCGGTCTTCTGTGAGATCATCGTAAGTTCCGCGACGGACCTGTCCATTCGTGCAACAGCGGAGCCGGTTGCATCGCCCTACCACACTCTCATCACCGTGCTTTAAAGGCATGTAACATACGTAACACTTTCACCGCGATTTGCGACGATTTGCACTGAAATATTTAAGTTTTTAATATAATAGAGTTATATGCTCACCGGACTTGAGGATTTCCACGAGTACCAGCGCCTGGCGCAAACTCTCATCGGAGCTGCCGCCACCCGCGCCGTTGCCAACGGTGGCAGCGGCAGCTGTGGCGGCGATGGCAGCTATGGCAGCGGCGGCCGCCAGCGAGCACCAGCCCGCCCGCCGCATCGCCCGCTCCTCTACATCATAACTACAACTAGAGACGGCTCCATTCCCTCTGAATTTATTGCTGTGCGTTACGAAACGATTGTGAAAACGCCATAAAACTTATTGAATTCAGTAAATGGAAATGGACGTTCGGTCGAACATTTGGCAACAAGAACGACGCCGCCTCTAATCGTGGATTTCGTATTGTTTTTTTATGTGACAAGGTGGCATGTAGCTGGCTCTGCACTTGATATTAAGTGAGAACCGCCGCGTGTGCATTTGCAACATCCGTAGCGTTGATATGCATTGCCACAGTTAAATGGTAGATTTGGTTGACGTTCAATAAGAGTTTAAAATAAGCCTATGTTGAGTAAAGAAATTTTGACTTTCACTTTGGAAATGGGGCCTGGTTACCTCATTCACCGGATGAAACGCAGAAGTGTAACACTTCCACTTGACGCCGGTCTTCTGTGAGGTCGTGGTACTTCCCCGGACGGACTTGCCCATTCGTGCAACAGCAAAGACTGTTGCGTGGCCCTACCACAGGTAAATGTGATGGCAATATGTTGGTAATGATGCCCTGATGATGTATACATGTAACCTGATGCTTGGTCATAAAATGTTTTGACATAATATTTAAAAGTGATTCGCAGTGAGAAGTGGTATGAAGGATATAGCTTTTAAAAAGGGTAAATGGAAAAAAATAAATGAAAAACTATTTATTGTAAAATTTTAATCATAATATGTAATGTGTAAAACCTGTTTTGAACAACAAAAAAATGTTTTGACATGTTCACCAGGCCAGTGTTGCCACATTCAACTATATATAACATATGACTATGTATAACAGGTATATTACAGGTATATTTACTTTATATAACAGGTATACAATAGGCCTCGAAATTGTAGCCCTTGAAAACAACACTGTCGTGTACCTATTGACTTAATCTCTGTAGAGGGCCTTCGCTTACAGTGTACGCGGAGACGGTTTCGCAAACAAACCTCGCCGCGTGAACTGTCCAGATCAATAGAAACGATAATGCGCAGTAGCGTAGGTACGTAGGGTTGCCAACCATACATTATAATAACATATTTAACTTTATTTTTGGTAAATGTACTTTATACTTTTGCATAAAAATAAAGTATGTGAAAATACCTTATTTTCAATATTTACTGTGATGCATAAAATAAAACACTTAAAATTTGTGTACCTATATGAATAATTACTAAGCTTTTTTGGATACTTCTAAGTTAAAAGAGTACCTATGCTTTGAAATTAGAACCTTTATCTTTTAATTTTATTTTATTATTTACCAAAAACATATTTTCCCTACAAAATTTAAAGACGTTTTTTCTTATGTGATAATTTGTCGTTTGATATATTTTGAACCTAGAATCTTTGTGGGATCAGTGTCTGTCTATGCTTGTACATGTTTTATAATTTTTCATTGTAATAAAAATTGAGTTAAATTTTTATTTAAATTTGGAATGCAAAGATAACTTCCAAAAATTTAAATATAGTGAAAAACTGTGTTTATATGCTAGAAGCAGACAAAAATATATCTTCAATAGAAGAAATAAATAAAATTTTGAAAAATACTTTTGTTTTCTTCCAGATACCTTATTTTTATCTACAAGAAGATACTTTATTTTTTCAAAAAAACATTTTTTTATTGCTAGTAATAATAACATGAGTTTCTATTTTAAACTTCATTAGTAGTATAGAATTGAATTTTCATAATGTCTTAGTCTTGATGGGTTTGATAATTGGTTAAAACAGCCGTTGACACAACTTAGGTGTACCTATTGACTTAGGCCCGGTTTCGTAAACACTGATCATCGTAGAAGAGAGCTGTCAAATGGCTTTCAAAACGTCATTTGAGTTGCCAAAAGAATGGTTAAATTATTTGAATTGATCATTCTGATTAATAAGATGATAATTCTAATCAATTCAGAATTAACCATCGATTAAGTGATACCACTTGAGTTGCCAAAACGATAGTCAAATTTGAACGAAACGATGATTAATTTGAACGATTGCCGTAAATATTTTAGTATTACTTTAGTATTTATTTGAAAAGCCATTTGACAGCTGGCCTCTAAGACTCGATGATCAGTGTTTCCGCTTACAAAGCACGCGGGGACGGTTTTGGCAAACGCACCTCGCCATCCGTCCAGATCAATAAAAACGATATTGCGCAGTAGCGTACATCGAGATTAATTGCCTTTGTTTCGTCACATTTTAAAATTATCGTTCCCTTTACAAAATACCGTAGTCACAGGCTATGGTACAGTTGCAAGCACCAATGTATACCGATTTCTTATGTGCCAAAATAAAACTATAAGACGGTGGTTTTATGAGGTAATGATCTCATAAAACCACCGTCTTATAGTAACTAGGGAGGCTAGTTACTATAAGATATATAGGTGCACCTATTTATATACATTTGGAACTAAAATGAAATTGACGACACCGTTAAACGAGACCATTTTTATAATGCATTATATTTGTCTTTTAAACAATTATAATAAACTGTATAATAATATTAATTCTGACTTTCTTTGTTTCTCTTTTAATTTTTTGTGCTTTACTGGGAATAGGGCGGCGGCAATCTTTAATGTGCCTAGGGCGACCAAAGGATCAAAACTGGCTTGGAAACTGCTAAGGAATACAGATAAAAATCGATTGGTTTATGCTATGATATTCGGATATTATTGATTTTGCTTTCTGATAAGGAAATTGTGTTGGTTGATGATAGATAGCGTAACAAAATAGTAATTAATATGCAGCTTCATATAACAAAACAGAAAGCAAAATAAATTTAAAAGAAATAATAAAAATAGAAGTTAAATAAGAAGTCAAACAAAAATATCACAAGTTACAAAACTACAAAAATTACAAATAGAACTGGTTACATACAATTCATTTTTTTAAATAACTTCTCTAGTCACATGCTTGAGCTGTTTGTAAATAATTGTGGATTGTTTGTGGTCAGTATCATAAACGTAGTGATTACATTCTCTATGGTCAGTATAGTTAAGTTACCTAAAGGGTAAGAGTGCGTGTTTTTTCTTCTAATTATACGGACGCTTAAGAGTTGAAAGTGACTTTATAGAAACCTTTATAATTGTTTTTAAAAGAATTAGCAGGATTAAAAAAATCTCGATCAAAGTCGGTGTAAAATTGTGCAATGGCGGGTTCCATGTTCATTTTTTTAAAGTAACTTCTCTACAAAGTCACATAGTTAAAGTCGAAATCGTCACTGGGTCGTCTTTAGGCGAAATTTTTTTTATGTGACAAGTGGCAAACGAGCTAGCGGTTCACCCGATGTTAAGTGATAACCGCAGCCCATGGACAAACGCATCACTCACAGGGCTGCAAATGCGTTGCCACCTTTAAATAAACTGGGCCCCGGCTACCCCACTCACCAGACGAAACGCAGAAGTAACGAAACGCAGTGTAACACTTCTACTTTACGCCGGTCTTCTGTGAGGTTGTGTTACTTACCCGGACGGCCTAGCCCATTCGTGCAACAGTGTTGCGTGGCCCTACCACCGTGAAATTGTATTTATTCCGTGGATACCACTCGCTTGATCACTCCGTGGCGCAATTGTCAACCTTCCGCGTGGGTTCGATTCCCACACGGGACAATTATTTGTGTGACGCATAGTAATTGTTTCGGATCTGGGTGTTTAAAAAAATGAAACTCCTCAACAAACTCCCATTCCGGTTAAAGCGCACTCAATTCCAGCGTCAGCTTTCTTTCGTCAGTCACTGGGACCTTTATGACCTTTATCTATAAAGGTCACCACGGCCAATTGTGCGGGTCATAAATACGGACAATTTACACGTAATATTTTATTACAGAAAGTATAAGTATAAAGTGATATTTTATATCTCAATTTTACGCTTTCACCATAGGGTGACCCGCGACTACGTCCGCGTGGAATAGTCCACGCGGACGTAGTCGCGGGAAACAGCTACTCATAAATATTACCTCTTACTCTTTCTCCAAGCCGTGATAGCTCATTGTCCGGGCGCTCGCCTTTAATTCAATATACTCGAGCAACCGGAGTTCGATCCCCGGTGCCGGGCCCATTAAAATTATTTGATTTTAAGTGCTGACTTATCACGTGCTCTGCGGTGAAGGAAAACATTATGAGGAAACCTGCATATTTTCAAAATTAAAAAAAAGAAACATATTTCGAAGAAATCTGCCAATCTGCAGTGGGGCCGTGTGTTGGACTATACCCTGATATTCTCTGAACAGAAGAGGCTTTTGCCCAGCAGTGGGACATGTATAAGCTTACTTTATGCTTACTTCGTACAATCATGAATATTAATTAGCCATGACTCAGCACGTACTTACTTGTATATTGTAAATTTACAAGTGTGTTTTGTTGTTATAACCTTGTTTCAGCATTGGAGTTGCACGAATTTTGCATACAGTTTGTTTACAGGCTGGAGACTGACACTGGGCTGCTTTTTATTCCGGAATATTTAGATCTCGTGCAACACATTTACGGCCTAATTTCAAAAACTTCTTCATGCTATTATGACTGAATATATTTTAATGAAATTGATTCTCTACGTGTTTACTATTTGCCTATCACTGGACAATTATCAGACTGAACAATATTACTGGAAAATATATTACATTTTGTTCACTAGAAACACGTATTGTTGTCGCTTTTAAAAAGTAGAGCTTTACTTTAGTTCGAAATTAAACGAAGAGATTTTAAATAATAATGGTTCATTATAAAAACTATATGCATGCATATTAATTTTATTTTCTCAATAATTTTTTGCCGTAAATAAAAAATGAAGTAAAGTAGAGAGCTTACATCGTCTTTTAACTTAGAATAAGTGTCCAATGTACATTATACTCGATACTTATGTTTTCTTCTTAAAGTCAATTATTTAATTTAAATGTTTATCGTCGTAAAAAGCCTAGCCAATACCTAATATTTAGGTGAAACGGTGCCAAGTGTTCTAGTTAATGTTAAGTGATAATCGTCGCATATCTAGAACACATAACGGGTTGGAGTTGCTTTGACAATTTTATAAAACTATGTGCCGGTTACCTCATGTAACGTACCCAATGTAACGTTTTAATTTATGAACTTGATTAATTAAGGGGCATTGATTTAATAAAAGATAGAGTTTGTTAAGATGTTGTATTTTTACCCTTCAGTTCATAGTTACAATCCCTGGACTAGCTCAGATACAATAGTGTACAAAATATAGAATCATAATTATAAGTTGGGCGCCTTGTCTGTTAGGAACAGACTGTTGTAATAATTACAATTAAGTATCTCAGGGAGTCGTGAGTACATACATGAAATTGCACAAAGTTAGTATAGTGTAAATGGTAGTGTGTGTAATGTTTATTATTGAAAATACAATGAATCATCGTATTTTTTACGCATAATTAAAAAAATATTAGCATTCACCACTTTTTCTCTATGTTTACCTTTTTTAATACAACTAAGTAAGTCCGCGCAATTTTCATAAAAAGTGGTACAAATTTTTTGCTTCACATATTAATATTTACAGAATGTAATAGCACTCTATGTTGATTTTCTGTGAGGTAGCTCCCGTGGACTGCCCATTCGCACAAAAGCTGATGCGCGGCCCTAACTCGGTATGATGAGAATTAGAGAAAAATAAGATTTGGGTTTATGATCAATACTGTTCAAAAATCAATTACAATATAAGATTGTGATATTTTTAATGACTACCTACTAATTGGAGGAGATAGCACGAACACATTCGTATATGACGCGGGTTTCCTTTGGGATTGATTTGTAAGAGAAAAACAAATTACTTCGATTACTGATCAAGTAAAAGAGAGATTAGACTTCATATATAGCGTGTCGTTACCACCGCGACAATAAATGAACACACATATAGAGGATAACTTTTAAAAATAGTAGTGAACATTTACATTCTTGAAACTTCAATATTTACCGAGTTATTAAATTTTCCAAAACAAACAATTTTAGAACATCCTTACGTAGAAAACTGTAACATAAAGTTCATTTGTAAAGGTCACAAAGCATATGAATGGGTTGAATGAATTTAAAAGAGACAAAACATACTGTTAGAAGGAGAAGCTGTATAGGATGTTACAAATTTTGTTTCTTTTTAACTTAATTAGTTTGTTTGAAAAATATTTTTTTTAATTATGGATTTTGTTTAACGTTAATATTTTTTTATGATTATTGGCAAGTAGCGTTAGACGTCGTGTGTTCATTTATTGTCGCGATGGTAACGACACGCTGTATATATGTAACACTTTTTTTTCGACGCCTCGTACCCTTAAGATTCGAATGCCTTATATTGGCAATCCATAGTGGATCGTATAGCGATATCTATCGTGAACAATATAATTTAGTTGAATGGGATCCTTAGAAAATCTATATTTCATTTATCATAGATGGCGTTAGGTCACCTTGTTGTTTTGTCTTTGTTTATTTCCTTAGATTATTTCGGTACTAGTGATTTTATTGTTTTATATATAATATACAAGACAATAAAATATAAATATAAAATACTATCATTTTAATTATGTTGAACTGATACCAAGCAAAATTGTTTTTACATAATTTTCGATTAGAGACATTGTCTTGTTTAGCATAGTCTGTTGTTTGTATCATCTGTCGTTCCTCCGAGAACGGCAGTCAGTCAGCTTCGTCTTGATCATTTCTTATTGGAGTTCTGAGGCGGCCGCCGCCTGGCGGCAGCGCCTCTGCATAGTTCGAGAATGTAGGAAAGGAGTATGTGGCATCCTAGGCCACATCCTTTTACATCCTACTTGTATATGGCTTATTGGCCTTTATATTTTATATAAAAAACCCACATCGTTAGTAAGTTTCCTTTGTGCATATATTTTTGGGATCTGACTGTTTTCGGTCCATCATTCGTTTGTTAACAATTGGTATTTTGTTACAGGGTTTTTTTTTTTTTTAATTGGTTTCTCTTTAATGCTACCTCGTATCACTCTGATCTGCTTCTCTCTGATGGCTTGATATCGAACCGTGTGTTCGCCTTATATGCAACTGCATATATACTGTATATATATACTGCATACATATATATACTGCATACATATATATACTGCATATGTACTATATGTATTAAGAATCTGAGGTCCTGCTGTCCACGTGCAACTTGAAGCCGCGGACTAGCTGAATGCCCCTCGGTGGCATGTGAGCTTTGCTGAGCTGAGATCTTCACCCTTATTTGGAAAGTGGGAAGGCAAGCCTGGTTATGTTTCCTTCTGGTATGTGTGTGTTTGCTCTAATCTAACTAGCCATTAAACTCATGATTATATTTATATACTGCTTTGTGACAGTGATTAATTTAATGTATACTTAACTCTTAATGTTACTATTATTATGCCTGATTGGTGAGATCTCACTCCTTCTATATTTTTAACTTGATATAGTTTAGTTTTACATTCAAACCTTGTATCAATAAACTCTAAAACTGTTAAGGAATGTATCTTTTATTTTCACTAAGTAAATCCCTTAGAATAAGCATTATTCTGTCTTGCACGGGGCGGGCTGGCGCCTATTTAATATAAATTCTGTCCGTCCCCGTGACTGGGTCACCGAGCCTCACCCTGTGGTCTTGATCGGTCCGATTGAGTCAGCCGGAGCGAACCCCTACACCGATCTCTCACTGGTGGAGTCGGGGAGGATGTTACATATAGACGCATGGTATATACTGTAATATACTATTTATAATATATATACTGTAATATGCTATTTTCGTCTTTTCCTTTTTTCTGGTATTGAATGAGATGCATGATTAAATTTACATACGACTTAGGATATCCTCTCATAAATTACAAGAATTAACTTTAGTAATGTAAGTATCGTGAATAATAATTTTGATAATTTTAGGTTAATTCTTTGTGAAAACTAGGAAAGTTTACGGAATGTATACAGGATGATGAATAACTTTTAGGTGGCCAATGTCTATAGCGAAAACGAAATACCTGGAAGTTCATATGTTCGAAAATATTTTACAAGATTGCGGTACTAGCAAAGAGTGGATAGAAGCTCGATGAGTGGTTGCAACAAAATGTTCGGCCGTCGAGTGAGGTTGACGGGGCCCACTTAGTGAAAAGGTGGCAACGCATCTGCAGCCCTACGGGTGTTGCAAATGTCTATCGGCGGCGGTTATCAGTTATCCCGGTAACCGCCAGCACCGTTGCCACCTTCCACAAAATACAGTTAAATCTACAATATCGACTGAATCTAAGTTTGTGAATTATTGGGATAATGTTTAATGCAAGGCTTTATCTACAAAAATTCATTACTCGTTTGCTATGTTACAAACCATTTTTAGAGCTTTGTTTAGGATAGAACGAAAACCCAACATTGTTATACGCACTTTATTCGATGTGTATCATAAATCTAAAGCAATTCATCCCTTGTAAGTGCACCGCGATGGGTCAAATACCAAGAGAGACCAATAAAATACCACAATTAAGTTATATGGAGGCGATATGATCAACAACAATAATTTACTTTAGGGCCTGGCTCAGCCGGCCTCCGCTGGATTAGGATTTCTTCTGACTGATTCGGATTGATTTGGCCGTGATGAAGGCGTGGTCGTCAGGCGAGGGCTCCAGGTGCGAGTGGTCATGCAGTGGACGTCGACTTTTGCGGTGGCGTTTTTGCGCCGCCTTCGTCTGGCCTTTGGTTGCGAACGGACCGTTGCGAAGGGACATTGGCGTGTTGGGGCCGCTGGCGCGGCACTCGGAGAGCCGGAGCGCGGCCCCCGAGGCCGTGTCTAGGTTGGCGACGGTGGCCGGCGGCCACCAGGGGACGCTGGGGCAAACAGGGGGCGGCGGGGCGCGGCCGCGGCGCGGACACGGCTGGTACAGCCGCGGATTGGGCACCAGGGGGCGCGGCTGCCTGGCCTTGCTCCTGCGATTCCTTGTGGGGTCGCCTGAATGCGATTTCTTTTTGGGCACCTGCGGACCAGGATACCTGGAAAGTATATTGCGCTCCCGTAAGCTTTTGGCGTGAGGGCGTGGCTAAGGAATATTTTATACATACAAGTACAGCAGTTTTAGTAAATGTTGAGCTGTAATTACATTAATTAATGATACATCGGTAAAATGTATTTTAAGCAGTGTGAGATTAGTTTTGCCACTTCCCCGGTTTTCCAAAATCTTTGGTTCTACTTTTGCGTTTATACGTCTCCTACTTAATAATTCTTCATCCCTTTATCCTACTTCTGACATGCGAAGGACCGGTAAACACTTTCAATACAAACGAAAAATCCTGTTCTTTTCTAGCGTCGTGAATAAATAATTAATAATAATAATAAATATTTTTAAGACTCATTTTTACACAACGTTCACTAGTTCCAAACTAAGCAACGCTTGTTCTATGCGTGATAGATAACAGATAAACATAGTTTTCTTTTGTAAATAAATACTTATTAAGATACATAATATAAACGCACAGACACTAGAAAAACACTATGTTCATCACACAATTTGTTCCAGTAGTGAGGATCGAACCCACACCCTCTGGCGCAGGAGATAGCTACACTACCCACTACGCCATTCGGGTCGTCAATATCGGAATATATGAATATACGAGTGACTGGGCTAGTTCGAGCTACTCACAGTCTGGCACTAGGCGTGTAGGGGGCTCGAACAGTTCGCCGTTTCTTCGGGGCACCCAGGTCGATCACATTCTCTACCGCGTCCTTGTGAGGGGCCCTGGACACAATTGCAACTAATTAACAAACGCAACGTTAACTTCGAGGGGAACTAGTTAAGGCCATGCCTACATATAGCCGGTGCAAAACTAGGGTGCAAAAGGTGTACTTGTGATACAAAGTTTTTGCTTCACGTATTAATATATAGATGACATATATAATTTATTGTGACCGATATAGAATGTATTTACGGTAAGTGATAGACGTATATAGAATTGCAATCGAATCACACCAATTGGCGTAATTTGAGCGCCTCAGTTTCGGTGCGCTAGTCATATCTACTTTGTATTTGTAAATAATATCAAATTAATATTCATTGCGCTTTATATTACACGACATGTAAAGGGAACTTGACAGATAGTATAGAACGTATGATACGGAAAGAAATAGCAGTCTCTACATAGCTAGAATCAAACCGAACAGAAGAGAAAATAATAATTGTATATGAAGATGTAATTTGGATGCCTCAGTTTCGGTGCGCTGGCGTCATATCCATCTCGTATTTGTATATGATATTACTGTGTTATACCAATTGTAAATACGATTTAGAGGGTCATGAAATGTACGTCATTGTTGTCGTAGAGAATTTGTTCTTTCGTATTTGTTTTCCTCTTTTTAACAACAGTTTCAATTAAGTAGGCTAGCGACAATCCTAAATAAGTTTAAGTTACGTTTTATACACTATATCAGTCAGCAATGATATATGTATAAAAACGAGGAAGATATGACACTAGCGCATCAAAATTGAGGCACTCAAATAACGCCAATTGGTGTAATTAGATCGCAATTCTATAGTCTGCTATCTCTTTCCGTATGATACTTTCTATATGACCTGTCACATTCACTTATATGTGCCATGTAATGTAAAGCACAATCTTTAATCATTATTACAATTTTTTTTATAATTTCGCACTCTACGTAATTGTTTATATTTTTATCATTTACAACACACACCGTTATAAAAATAAGTACTTACGGTTTAGCCTTATTTATAAGAACCATTTTAGATAAAGTGTGTATAACGAATAATTTAGATCTCCATAAATTTTTCTGTTACGATATTTTTACGCCATTTGGACGTCATTGATAAAATAACTGTCACTAGTTATTTTTTTGATGTATGTATGAATAGTACCTACACTGTGCCAGTTTTTGTTTAGAGTTCAAAGTTGAGGTTTTCTGTTTAATTATTTTTCAAAGCAAAGGAAGCTTCTATACTTGTACATAACAAGTACGCTGTAATTATTCAGTGTTTAATAATTGTAACGCAAAAAGAGGGGTGTTATAAGTTTGACGTGTGTATCTGTGTATCTATGTGCCTGTCTGTGGCATCGTACCTTCTTAACGAACGGATCAATTATAATGTTTTTTTTATTTGAAAGCTGACTTAGGCTTTGCTCAAGCATTTTACGAGCCATGTAATTTTAATGGCAGCACTGCTGTACGGTGTGGCCTGTCCTTATCGTACCCTACGTTTGGGGATACGTTCGTGATTGGCTGAGGGGACCCCCCGCGGCTACCACCCACGGTGCGTAGTGTGGGGGCGTATTCGCAAATTCAAAACGGATTAATTCGAAAGCCATGTACGCATAGTGGTCGTTTTGCAAGCTACCGTTTTGTTATAGATAGATTAAACTTGAATTGAACTTTTTAATAAATTGTAATTATTAAGCGAACTTTACTCTTTGTTTAAAAAAAGGTTGACAAGTTTTAAATAAAACCTGAAACACATATGTCGATTTTTAATTTTGTAAATAAGTGGTGGCTGGATTAGGGAGCATGTACGGTTCTCAGAATTAACGGTTCTTTAGTAATTCTTTGAGCATATACAAATATGTCCGAAGATACTTCATACGGCTAAACAGTCGGTGGACATCTAAACCGTTCTTGCGCTATAGCTTGTATAGGAGCCTTATAGTAAATTGAGAAACCTTCAAGGTATTTACTCATTGACGAATTCAATCATGCTTAGAAAAAATCTTACACTTTTTTGATATTATGACTATTAAAATTTGTTAGAAAATCGATATATTCATCTAGTATGTTACAAACACATTTGCATCGCTGGGTTTCGAACCCAACCTGGGTTTTCAACATGACAGCGCAGCAATTTAACATCGCAACTGCGATGCCTCAGCCACTAGGTGGTCACTGAATCCGCCATGAGAAGATTTTGTAACGTTTTGTATAATGCTAAAAAATATCTAAATAATAGGGACACATAATCTAGTGGATGCCAGGAGGTTTGGAGATAAGTTCGTTTATTCCTGAGAGCTTATGTTCTATGACAATTAGATTATATGCACATTATTTAATATAAACATAGATATTGTTAAATAGTGGATACTTAGTAGATTACTTGCGTGTTACTGTTTCATCCGCCATATTTATTATTTTAAACTATATTTGCTTGATAGTTTTGAATTGAAGTTGTTTGAAGTGAAAGAGAGAGACTATTTTTATACTTTTGTTTTAACTTACCTAATTTTTATGAAAGCGCGGATAAAAACTAAATAATAGATAAAATTAAAGTCTATTCTGCCTATAGCAGAATCTGATACAACAGCACTAAATTATTTGTACATCTCATTTTATTTGTTTCCTAGGAGTAATCTGCAATAGTTAAAATCACTAGCAGTAAGTTAATTACTTCACTAACATCCATAAACTCATTATCATTACCTAGTTAGTCTGGTGCCAATTCGCAAGTAAATTATATACATAGAAATTTAGTACTAGAAATTATTTAGAGATTTATCAATTACCTGGGAAAATAATCACGTGTAATTGTATTTAATATTATATAATTTTTATAAGTTGATGTGATAAATTGATACGGAAGCGGGTGGTTGATTTGATGTGAAGTAATTAGGGGAACAATTAAAGCATAACTGTTCAAAGATAGCATCTCAAACACAATCAACAACAAAACATTTAATACTAGGTAACAGCGTAATGATTTTGGATGCAATTGAGTCTCCGCGGGGGGTAGTTACATGGGGGAGGTATAGGGGCAGAGAGCAATAAATCAATACACCCCCCCTCCCCCACCACACCGCCGGCGCATCACCCAACTCGCTTTTGCGTCGTTCTCTATAGCCCCGGCCAACGCCTACGGGGCTATGTATTTTTATTATGTACCTCGCCCTTAGGAGACAAGTCCTCAAAGATTTTTATGGTTGGGGCGTAAAACCAGAGGCGTAAGTGGGCGGAATTACTTATAAGGTTTGACACTATTGTCAGGTTGCAGTAGTTATGTGAATAAAGTTCATATCTTACATATTATTTTACCCATTATTAAATAAACCACCAAAGTATTTTATCTGAATCTATTGAATACTCAAGCGTATCATTTTACATCAAAATAAAGCAATTTAATTACTTTAAGCAAAATTGATAAATTTATCATCATATGTTCGCAACACTAAAGGAAGTCGTTCCTTGATGTTGTTGGCAACACTAAAAGAAGTGTCAATGAATTTAAATAATCGTTTAAAAATCATGTAAAATTATATATATTCGGTTCAGAATCGAATGTCAGTAAAAATACTTTGGTAGCAATTAGAGAGGTTAATGATATCTATAATGAAACAGTGTTTTTGCCCACTTTTATAATATATTAAAGTATTTATTGGTTTAAAATAATTCGATTTTTCAAATATTTCTGAGAACCATCTGATAAGTAAAAAGATACCTAATAGTCTCGCTGTTCTGTGATTTAAAATAGTTACAAAATATAGAACAACTTTTGAAAACAAGCTTTTAATAACATAATTTCACAATACATAATTGTCGTAAAAAATAAAATAAAATAAAATAAAACCAAGCCAATCAATTCAATATATGTATAGCACAATTTAGTAAATTATATAAAAGCTTGTCCCGAGATTTATCTGATAATATGATATTTATTTTTAATAATAATGTACCTACTACCTAAGCAGCTAATGTTTAAGGGCAAAAAATGAGTAGGTATCGACATTTTGAATATTGGTCACTTAGCGAACATTATGTAGGTATATAAATTGAAATGCCATTGGCTTTATATAAAACCTTAGATTATTTATATTTATTGAACAGCATGTATACATAATTTTTTAAAAGTATTAATGTGAAAAGTATTTCACTTAAATAATACGGTAGAATAAAATGTAATAAACCATGTAATCAAAGTTATATATTGTTTGAATTGAAATAAATATTTCCTATTCTAATTTAAAACGTAGGTAGGCACAGCTCCTATCTTAATTTCCCGCCATCCACTTTTTATAGGAATTTATTACAAATACTTAATATTTTTTCTATTAGAAATGAATATTATCTATACTAATATTATAAACGCGAAATTAAGTCTGTGTGTCTGTCTCGCTTTCACTCCAAAATGACTGAACCTTGGTACACAGATAGTCTAGAGCCTAAGAAAGGACATAGACATTATTTATTGGAAAAAGTGTTGTTAAGGGTTGAAAGATTTTTTATTTAAGGGCTTTAACGTGAGTAGAGCCGCGGTTGAAAAGCTAGTATTCTATATTTAGATATTTTGTGATATCAATAATATTGGGAAAATTAAAATCAATTATAAGTAAAACACTGATAAGAGATAAGAGATGCTGTATCTGACATTGATGGAAGAATTATTTTTATTAAATTACATTTGTGTGACTTACAAATGCAATGGTTTTCATTCTTGCTCATGAAAAAAAAAATTCCTTGCCATATCTTTTTGTGAGTAATTTTTGCAAGATTCCACTGCATAGAATTTCATATTTATTTCTTTCCAGAGCGAAAAATATTCTATATTGCAAAAAACATATTGACTGTTTTTTGTTATGCAATGCATTTTCTGAAATCTTCACATGTTGACGTGCCGAACTAGTCTAATCATGACCGTAGGCGTGTATCTGCTATATATGCGGTTGGCCATGTATACCCCAGTATCACCTAGATCAGTGATTCCCAAAGTGGTCTATCTCGACCCCTACTATATACTGTCTGGGTCTACGTCAGCGAAAAAAAATTTGGGGGTCCATGAAATGATGATGGGGTTCCACGATAGTGGATCTCAACACATACACTGATAGTACCTATTTACTTACATCATACTATCTTATAATATGAAAACATATACATTATTTATAAAAGTACCTATGAAGTAAAAAATTTATTATACATGTTTATAAAATTGTGTAAGTTGTAGGATATTGGTATTCGCTTTGTGGTCGCAATACATTTTGAACTTGTAAAAACCTGAGAGTCGCAGTCTCAGAGCTTCGTTACCTTGCTATTTTAAAAAATATAATCAGATAGTATATCACACAAATTATAGTGAGTCAGTGTTATTTTGTTTGAAATTGCTGGAGAAAAGTAAGTACATTATTTTCTAGTTAGCAAAGATAGATAAATTACGCCAATCATGACTTTAGTTATTAGTAGTTTAATATTCAATCATGCAAAATTACACGAGTATTCCTCAATAGTTTCTTTTTGAAAGTTTTAGCAATCGGTATTATAATTACAGTGCAATCTCCGTAATTCGAGCTAATTGTTGCAAGAAGATGTTCGAATTATGGAATGTTTTCGGAAAAATCAAAAAAATATTTTTAATATACAGCTGCTGGATTTTCTGTCTTATTTAAATAATTTAATTTTGCCCACAGATGCCTGATGCCATGTCCGAATCTAAAAAGAAATGTAGACAGTACAGTGTTGATTATTTGAAATTTGGCTTCATTCCATCATTGCCGGACAAACAATCGCCTATGTGCCTTTTATGCAACAAAGTTTTGAGCAATGGCGCTATGAAACCATCTAAACTGCAAGATCATCTGAGAAGATGCCACCCTGATAAAACAGAGAAAGATTTGAAATACTTTCAAACACTCAAAGATATACTTCAGAAGAGACCTACACTGGACAGAATGTTCGCTTCGACGTCACAAAGAAATGATGATGGTTTGCGGGCGTCTTACAATATCTAGTTACTTATAGCAAAATCCGGAAAA